CACACACACACACACACACACACACACACACACACACACACACACACATACATACCAAATGGGAACATCTCCACTAGACCTAACATGGTAGAGACAGAAAAGCAGTAAGAACATCAGGCTGAGGTAGCTGAAGAGTGAGGAGGCAGACATGTCAGACACAGGTTTCTTCCTCAAGAGCTGTAAAGGACAAGAGAGAAGACCGTAAGATATGGCAGGAAGCGTCAAACAATGAGTTTTAGTTATTTGCTCTGTTTGGAGTTCAAGTTGGTAGACTCCGGAGCAAGTTTACAGTACAGAGGGGAAGGGGCATTGGGAAGGAAGATGGAGTTGGTACAGCAGCCCAGCATCTGGCCATGGAGGCAACCCTTCAGACAGTGCACCTCATGCCATCCTTCCCTGGTCCACATCGGGCCTTCATGTTGCTCTGACTTCCCCTCAGTCATCACGCTGCAGCTACCTGTACCACAGTGCTACTAGTGGCCAGTGACTCTGAGAATACACCGACGTCGTGTGTCTCCTCCCAGCTCTGGACTGGCCCAAGAGAGGCTCAGATATTTACCAGCCCATAATGGTAGTCCTGCTGATTGCCAACTCTACATGCTGGTAGAATCCAAATCAAATACAGTCCACTACTGCTCTTCACTTCTCTGCTTCCTTTAGTTGACCACACCAGATTAGGTTAGGTTTAGGACTACAGAAAGGAGCCATGGATCACATGGCTTGAGTAGTGGCCTTACAGGCATACCCTGGACCTTGCGCCCTCCCCCATTGTCTCTCCACAGTGACTTAGCAGGGGTAGGGGCTATATATATATAGGGCTAAGTCTTCTTACCTCACCTTCAGTTCCTAAATACAAATGCATTCTTCTTTTGTTTGTTTGCTTGCTTGCTTTTTGAGATAAGGTTTCATAGAGCCCAGGCTGTCCTCACACATGCTATATAGCCAAGGATAACCTTGTAGTTCTGACCCTCCTGCCTCTACCTCCTCGGTGCCAGAGTTACATATCTGTTCCATTACACCAGATTTATATAGCACTGGGGAATTGACCCAGGGCTCTGTGCATGCCAGGCAAGCACACTGCCAGTAGAGCCACATACCCAGTCCCTAAACGTCACAATCTGAAAAACTGTGATGCAGTGATGGGCCAGCCAGTCCATAAGACTTTGGGGCAGGGAGTGGATAGCTTATTTGTGGCAGCATAATACTCATTACTATCCCCTAGCTTTTATTTAGATGAGGAGTTTTCTAGAGAGTGGATTCTTAAAGGAGACATGCATTCCTAACACACTGAAGTTTCCAGAGAGGCCTTTTGTTTACTTTCCCGTGTACACTCAACAAGGTCTGGCGGAAGCACTCGGCTCACACTTGATGAAAGAATGAGCAAGCACCCTCCCACGAGGTTAAAACAGGAAGCTGTCAGGAGCCACTTGTTGTGGGAGGTACTTGCTGCAGAGATCCAAACCCCACTTGGGGGCCAGCTCTCTTAAATGACCTCCCATGGCCCACGTTCTGGATGGAGGCGGGAAGGTTCGAAGAACCTTTATTCTCTCTCTCACAAGTCAGCACTTCCCAGGTAGTGTCCGGAAGAAAAGCTATTCATGGTGTGCGTGGCTGTGGGCAGAGGAAGCAAGTTATCCATGGCTGCTCAAGATGAAGTGTGCTCATTATGTTTTTGGCTCCCTTCTGCAGGCCTTGTACTTTGAGTATGGGGCACTTACTTGGATTGACTCAAAATGCCAAACTGTAATGGTTTTGAGTGTCACCCGTTCTCATCCAAATATGGGTGAGAGGCAGATGGTGGGAAATGGTGACTGCAGGTTCCAGAGCACACAGTGCCCTCCCCCGAGAGGCAGTTTAGAGGCACTGGGGCTGACAGTTGCTTACTGTTGGCCAACTCAGCGCTGTGCAGAGGGCACTCTGCTGCCCGGTGGTGGCAGACTGCTTGAAATGGAGAAACCTCCTCCCCATGAAGACTGTTCCTTCATACTAAAGGCTAGAGTCTCAGAGGCAGAAGAGCCCAATGCCAGATGTCTTCTACTTCCTGCATGCCCACCCCATCTCGCCATCACCATACAGCCATTCCAGCAGCCGTAAAACCTGCCATGGACTCACCTCCCGATTCTCTACCACCCCTGACTAGAAAGAAAGCCAGTGTTATCACTTACTTTTCTATCACTGTGAGAAAACACGATGACCAAGGTAACTCATAGAAGAGTTTGTTTGAGCTTACGATTCCAGAGGAGTGGCGGCCATGACGGAGGAGCAGAGGCAGCAGGGAGCAGGCGTGGCCGCATGGCCGCATGGCCGCATGGCTGCAAGAGCAGACACAGGGCTCTCACTTGAACTGCAAGCACAAAGCAGGGAGAGCGAACCAGAAGCAGTGTGGATCTTCAGACTCCCAAAGTCCGCCGGTGTCTTGGCATCTCCGAAGGAATCATTTAACATTCCTGTGAAGGGTAAGACTGAGTCCATGAAAAAAGGCGAGAAGTCTGTTGTATTATGTTCAGCTTCCCATCTCTGGGACAGAAGGACCTGAGATAATGTCTAGGGAGAGAAGTCCTATTTTCTCTCATAGTTTTGGAGTTTTCAGGCCTCAGTTGGTTGGTTCATGGCCACAGTTGGTTGGTTCATGGCCACAGTTGGTTTATTCATGACTTTGGGCCAGGAACAAGGCAGATAAGAGAGTGTGACCCTTCAAGAAGCTTCTCCCTGTTGGCATCCTGGAAACAAGGAGGAAAAAAATGGTAGACGAAGAAGAAATCAGAATTCCACTGTTCCCTTTAAGGCCATGCTCCCAGTGACCTATGACTTCCCACTAGGCCCCACCTCCTACAGGTCCCATCACTTTCGAGTAGCACCAAGCTGAGGCCAAACCTTCACTACCTGGCCCTTTAGAGGACATTCCAGATCCAAACCACAGAGCTGAGGTCTCTGTGAGGAGTCAGCAGGCTTGGCAGAAGGTTGCCTAGGCATTTCTCAGCTTCCCCAGAACATTCTAGCTAATGTCTATTGCTTGCCCACTCAACAAATGGTCTCGGTATCGTGTTAGATGTTCTATTACATGCTATCTCAATGAAATGCAGCGAAATATTATTATCCCTGTTTAGCTGATAAGGAAACAAAGTATTGGGAGAGATGAAAAACTTACCCATTCTTCATAAGAGTGAGTTAAAGATTGGAATCAAGCTCTCTCTGAAATACAGTTGGTACTCATTCACTACGCTGCACGGATGCTCATGGCCAGTGTTTTAACCAGGCCTGGCTCCACCCTCTGTCAGCGAAAGTTCTTGAGTCTGGGGTCAAGAGACACTAAGGCAGATTGTCCTTTTGGGTTATTAACGCCATGGACAGACAGCAGCATGGTAGGGGCCCTGATGAGAGTTCAAGCTCACAGGCAGTGTAGGAGGTCTTGTCTTAGAGGTCTCAGGCAGGGGAAGGTTTCCCATCATGAGCTTGCAGCCAGGCTCTCTCTGATTCACCTGCTGCAGAGTGGGTGGGGTGGGGAGGAGAGGAACTCCAGAGAAGGCATGTGCAGCTCTAAGGATGTGGGGAAAGTGAGAAGGAAGGGCCCATCTAGTTGAAGTGCACCCATTATATGGGTGGAGGGATGTGTCAACGTCGGCACTCTTTTCATATCCCAGGGAGTCCAACCCTGAGGTTTATAAGCTTCCTTGGAGAAGTGAAAATCATGGCTGTCTGTCATTCTCCAGGAGTCTGGACACCTGAAGAGACTGTTTACAGTCTCATAGATGGGCTCTCTGTAGGGGGCTTGCCATTTCCTTACTGTGGCTGTTGTTAGAAAAAAAGACGTTTCTGTAGGTAGGTGTGGCTCAGCAATCTGGTCTATGCTAACACAACATTGCTGTCTCTGCCTCCTTTGGCCATGCTTGCAAGTGTCATCCGATGAGCCCTGGGAGACTGACTGGTCCAGCTGGGTCATTTGGGAGAAGAATGTACACAGAGGACAGAAAGTTACAAATTAAACCACACATGGTGACACACACCCATAATCCCAGCCTTTGGGAAGTTGGAGCAAGAGGACCAGGAGTTCGAGGTTAGTTCGAGAGATATAGTGAGACTCTGTCTCAGAACAAGACAAACAAACAAACAAAATGAAAGCAAAGAAAAAAAAATCGAAATCTCTCTTCCATTGATCATGTTTTCAAGAAGAAAAATCAGATGCAAGATGAAGACTACAAATGAGAACAGGAAAAATCCAGGCCACCATCTTCTGCATCTTCGGGCCAACCCCATTCAGAACGGACAGCCTAATGTTCACCAAGGACCGTCACTCTGCATTGCACAGTGGTGGCCACCCTGGTTCTTGCATGAGGAATACACTCAGCAATTGATTCCTTTATCAGGATCCCGTGAGGCCTTCCAGGGGAAGTGCTTCACAAGATACAAAGACACAGGCCTGACTCTCAAGGAGCTCACAGTGCCAGCCTGGAGCAAATGTCTGGGTTCTCTCTTGATTTCCAGCAAAGAGGCAGTCTTTGGCATGTAAAGTGCATCAGTGAGGTCCCATAGGGACTCCTTTTTGCAGCAAGCGGTAGATCAGAATGACCTATTAAACCTGTTTTTATCACCGAGGATCTATAATCTCATAAATTCTATAGCTTAACCTTTGAAGAAGAGAGGGCTCATGTCCTTATGGTTTCCCAAGCAAAGCACACCTGCTGTCAGCATCGGATGGTTCAGAACAGCCCCGATTTCAAATACAGCATAAATGTCATTGGAAGACCACAGCAAGTGATTGGTAGCGCTTTACACACATGGCTTTCTGCTGAATGCCTGTAACCTGGGTCTTTGGTCATTAGCTCAGGGTGCCATTTCCCAGGACCTGTGGCATTGTGAGTCCACTCTGCTCTGCTTCCTTGGGAAGTGGCCAGGAGCCCCATTGGCCGACATGTTTGTCTGCTGATGGTACCTTGCAGCAGACTGCAGCTGCCTGAGGATCACATGCTTCGGTATGCCTCTGTAGTGTGCCTTTGGCAGCAGTCAGTTGGTTTTGCTCAGATCAGCAAAAGCTCTTGAGCATCCGACTAGGCACTGTGGGTAATGCATGGATCCCAGGACACTATCAGATATTCTCGATCAAGGTAAGGAAAAGGGCCTAAACAAAGGCATGGCAGCATGACCAGGAAGTGAGAACTGGACCATGTGAAAAGTCTGGCAGAAGTGAGATCCAACTCGACAGGGGCTGTGCCGGAGGCATAGGAAGTGACCGTTGAGCTTTGGGGGGGGTGGGCAAGGAGCCAGGGTCTGGGTGACCTATGTGAGTGACGTGGGTCAGGGGGAGAAGCACACTCCTCCACAGGTTCGGTGGCTGCCTAGGGTGGCACAGGGCACTGTGAGTCTCAGCCGCAGTGGTGGGAAGAGCTCAGTTAAAAATTCAGGGCCAGCTCCACAGTTGAGAACGAGGGCTGAATTATACATGTCTTTTCTGAGGGAAGGAGATTAAAGGGAAGGTTTTCTTTTTTGTTTTGCGTTTCTTTTGGGCTGGTGGTTGTAAGTAGGTCATTGGAAGTTCTATAGCTGCAGTGGCTGGGCAGGGGGAGATGTGTGTGTTGAGAATGTCCTCGGGCTCTTCTCCCGGTGCTCTGCCTTGCACCCTCACAGGATGAAGAGCCTGTACTATCCACCCTGTTATCTATGCGTTATCTACACGGACTTGCCTCTGATAACGTATAAGCAAGGGTACGTGACTAATCGGCCCAGGTAATTTGGACACCGATTCTCTTCTGTGTTTCTCTTTTGTTGCAGAATCCACCTTCTCGTCCCGGATCTGCTCCTCCGAACCCTTACTCCACTTCCTCATCGCCTGTCCCCTCATCATGCTGCTTCTGCTGCTCATTTCCCTCCTCTGCTTATACTGGAAGGCCAGGAAGTTGTCACAGCTGAGTCTCAGTGCCCAGAAAGAAAAGGCTCTCTGGGTAGACATGAAGACTGGACCAGTTAGGCACGAAGATAAAGGCTACTGAATCGCAAGGCACGCCTATGCTGATGGAGGGAGTGTGATGGGATTGGATTGGATTGACCGGGGTGAAGGAACTCTGCTTCAGACCTTGGCCAAGTTACCTAGGGACCAGAAGGGACGTGTCGTGGGCATATGTTGTTAACCAGATCCTGTTAAGTGTTCTTTGTGTATCATCCATCTTACTCTTTGAGTCCTCCGGAAGTAGACAGCGTTATTGCCCCACCTAACATAGACTTCACCTCCTCAAGGTCCAGCCTCATCTGGAAAGCAAGGAGCACCAGCCCAGGAGCCTTTGTTCCTCTCTCATTCCCCTCCAACATCACTTATTCCCTGGGAAACATCAGCTTGGCCCAGTCACAAGGGAAATCATTTCCCTCTAGATGAGTGACACAGGAGATATCTGATGTCAGCAAAGCAAGAGGAATGAGAGCATGGCCTTGGGTGCCCAACATCTGAGTCCCCAGTTAGTAAACAACTTCTTTCTAGGCAGGGCCCCATTTCCCCCCAAATCCCTTTACAAATGACTGCCAAAAAGTGTAAGAGTAGGTATCTAGTCAATATTGGTTCTTTGACAAAAGGGTAACATGTTGTGGCCTTTTTGGTATGTTTCTTTGGCTTTGTGTGTTATGGTTTGGGGGTGGTTTTTGTTTCTATTTCTATTTTGTTGAGAAAGGGCCCTGTGATACAACCCAGGCTAGCCTTGAACTTGAACTCACCGTATAGCTCTGCACTGTATAGTCTGGGCTGCCCTCCAACTTACATTAGTCTTCTTCCTACCAAGGCTGGCCTCTGAAAACTGGGATTAGAAATAGGAATTGGCACCAGGTGGTGGTGGCGGCGGCGGCGGCGGCGGCGGCGCACGCCTTTAATTCCAGCACTCAGGAGGTAGAAGTAGGTGGATCTCTGAGTTCAAGGACAACATGGTCTACATAGTGAGTTCCAGGATAGCCAGGGCTACACAGAGAAACCCTGTCTCAGGGTGGTGTGTGTGTGTGTGTGTGTGTGTGTGTGTGTGTGTGTGTGTGTGA